TACGCATCATTCCCCTGACCCAGAAACAGTGTATAGCAGTGTTGGTAAGACAACTAAGGAGAGGCTGTTAAAGTATCACGGTTGTTTTTGTGTGCTTAGACCGCGAAAGATAAAGGTGACTGAACCATCTTTACCTACAATGCATGCACACTCGCATCTGATTCCTCTGTAGAACCTCATCAGCCTACTATAGTCTTCTTTCAGACAGGAAAGATAAGGTGCGACGTCATCAGACTGGCCGAGAAGAAAAGACGCTACCCATCTGTGACATCATCTGTTCCTCGGAACATGCAACAGTGGAAGGTTGGCGTGGTCCATGTTCATGGCAACAAGGGTTAAGCCATGAATACCAAATCATTCGAACAAATAACGACAGAAACAGGACTTTTACAATTGAAGAGGTATGCATCTGTATCCACTTTCATAGTCTCTTCTTCGTCTAAGCACCCACGTTAAGCAATGACGAAGACGAAGTCGAAGAACTCCCTCAATAGTGGCTGTGGGAGTCTCTCAATGGAAAGCACCATAAGAAGTAGACCGCATCATGGTAAATCGATGGTGCCAATGTCTCTGTTGTTCAAAAATTCCACACAGAATCTGACCTTCGCCTTCTTTATACAATATTTCATTCATCACGAAAAGCAGAAAACGGCACCAATTTCAAAAAACGAGATCCCGAAACCACCGCAAACAGAGACTTATTCAGTTGGCTGCTGGACAATGTTGTACTTGATAACATCGACGAGGATTACGATAAGATCCTTCAATATCTTCACGTTAGGTTATGAAAGCTGAGAGTTCGAAAGTCGCCATGAGACGTCTGCCTCCAAAAGCACTCGATCTGATACGCCAGCGTGGAATCGCACGAACTTCAGGCAACTGCGAAGTAACGTCCGAACTAACAAAACAATGGAGACAGGCGATAAAAGAAGACCTTAAAGACAGAAGAGCAGCAGTAATGGTCGAAGTGCAGTAGCTGGGGAAAGCATTCACAAAGCCCACCGAAGCTTCGCCATTTACAGGACCAAGATTACTGCACTCCGGCACCCAGACGGAACAGTTACAGCGTTCAGAAAGGCAATGGAGAAAATCATTCACGAATACCACTCAGATCTCTTGGATAGTCACGTACACCTTTTGTCATATGAAATAAATGAGGATGGAAATGTTGTACCACCGGTTCTCCTTTCCGAAATCCGACATGCCATTCCGTCGGTGAAAAATCAAACAACACCAGGTCCAGACAGGATAGGATCTGAACACCTGGAGAACCTTCTACCGGTTATCATTAAAAGACTTGCTCGGCCTTTCACCCGTTACCTGTCAGAATGTAAGGCTTTTATTCAGCAAAAACCAGCATGGTTGTTTTGCTATTCAAGATAGGAGACCGCAATATTTTCACTTTAGTCCAATCTGCTTGTTTTCTGTCGTCTATAAACTGTGCACCCGAGTCATCCTTAACAAGATTGACTCAACAATGAACGATGGACACCCGTGTGGGCAAGCAGGGTTTTGAAGAGGATTCAGTACGATGGACCACATCTCATACGATAATAAGATTCACTGAACTATCGCGAGAGTACAAGAGCCTGCTCTGTCTCACCTTCACGGATTTAAAGAAAGCTTTTGACTCAGATGAGACAGAAGCAGCCGTGGAAGATTTGGAGAGCGAGCGCGTCGCTCCTCAGTATATAAAGCACAACCAAGATACCACCATTCTTTAGCCACATTAACGTCGACGTCAAAATTTGGTTTAGTTAAGACGACACTATCTCGTCAAAATTATTTGCTGCAACCCTTGAAAACGTCATGCGAACATTGGAATGGGATAACATGGAAGTGAAAATTGATGGTCGCCAATTATTTTGCTGATGATATCCTTCTTATAACACCAAACATTAGCCAGGCTGAACGAATGCTTTGCGACTTTGATAAAGCCTGTGGAAAGATTGGTCTTTGATTAAGCCTAACAAAAACGATGTTCATGAAGAACGGATTGGTTTCGTATGTCCCATTCAACGGAACGAATATCTCTGAATGCTCTAATTACGTCTACCTAGGTCGAGAAATCGACATGGAGAACCACTCAACTTTGGAGTTGAGAGTGAGGAAGCGAGCGGTTTGGAAAGCTTTTACGAACATCGAGAATGTGGTGAAGAAAACAATGAATTTCCGACTCCGTGCCGAGCTTTTTCGACCCAACGATACTTCCTGCGTTAATGTATGCGTCAGAAACCTGGCCGCTGCGTAAACAGGATGAAAGATCACTCAGCGTTATCGAACGCGCAGTCGAAAGGCGATGCTAGGAATATCCCGTGTCACGCAACTAAGGGAAGGGATCCGAAGTTCCGACCTGCGTCAGCGATCAAAATCAAAGATGTCGTTCTGTACGCCAAACAGTGGAAGATAAGGTGGGCAGGACACGTAATGCGTATGAATGACAACCGATGGACAGGAGCCGTTAGTGATTGGATTCCTCGGGATGTCAAGCGTACTGCAGGAAGACCACCGACCCGATGGTCAGAGTTCTTCACGAAAGGCCCAGAAGAATGATATTGATGCTCAACGAGCCTCTAGAGCAACAAGAACCCACTGGACTAATTTTGCACGCCATAAGGAAAAAATGGGGGTTTACCATCTGACGTACTCGAAAAAAAAGTAGCAAAAGGTGCCATAACTTCCCATATAGGATGCTATGATTGGGTTCTCAAAGATTTTTTACCTTGTTGACTTACTTTCAATTAATGAGTGCCCTCGATAAGGTATTAAAACTGGTAAACTTTATATTTTCTTCACTAAATGGCAGCTAACTAACCAAAAATTTATTCAATAACGCTGTACAATGTGTGCATACTAAAAATTAAATTCGGTTATATGGCATTCACAATCGTTCGAACAATTCGATCTCGGAGAGAAGATCGCAGCCGCAGCTCTCCCTATGACACTCCCACCAATTTCTGCCGTTTAAAAGACGGAATTTGAAGAAAAATTTCGTTCCCTAAGAATCAGAGGACTTACTAGCCCATCACAACAGAGAGAAGTTAAAGAACCTACACGCATGCCACTTCATTTTCGATGCCACTCACTATCACACGCTTGAATCGCATTTGATTGGCCGGGTCGACGTAGCTGAAGATTTAAGTGGTTACAAAAATTATTGAAAGATACAATAAATCCCACACAAGATCTTCTTATGTTGTTCGTTACTGCATCCATCATCATCTCAAGGTTACGAAAACACACTCCTCCATTGACAACTGTATTGCGCTGTCCCAGAATTGACCGAAACGTTATTTAGCAATCGAGATCGAAACTGTCTTGAACGTCAGATTGTGTTATTTGAGTGAATTTTATCACTTTTCTTCCTAGACTTATCAAGAACCAGTCAAAAACGAAAGGAGTTCTCTTAAAAAATTCATCCTACACTTCTAACTAAGAGGTCCTACAGTCCGTAATCTTAATCCGACCCTATACTTGACAGCAGCGCTCATTGACTAAACTCATTCATTCAACGGGGGAATGTTAGTAGCAAAATCATTAATTCAAACCCTTTTGTCCTTGGTTTAATTTTTGTTTAATTTTTAATGTCCTTGGTTAAAACGGTGGTTTAAAATTTTCAAACCGACCGTAATGAAAATTGTTTTGCAATTCGCTTCGTGCTAGCTAACATAATACCCATTGTTGTAGGGTGGATTACTCGTTGAAAAGCAAACTATTATCAACGGATAGGTCATATCAACAATAACCGCTCTGCATAAATGAGCACTGCCCAGTGAGCATGCCTCTTTTGTGCGGTATTCCACTGACGAAAAGATCCGCCACGGTACGACATCGAAGACGCCACATCCAGAAAAAGAACAACTATGAACCACTGATTCGGATCATCGACTCTGATGAAGACGAAGACGTCGAAACGTTAGCCGAATAAACCTTGTTTTCAACGTGTCGTTTTCTTGTTCAGCAATCGCGAGGTTTTTAAACAGCATACATTTACTTCCATAAAAACACAATACAATACAGCACTAGCTGACGTTTCGGCAGTATCGCCTTCTTCAGAGCCTGGAAGGGTATGCTGATATACAATCTACTAGGCCAAACGCTTCAATAACACTTACACAAATACGAAAGGCTCTTTGGTAACTACACGATCAACAACTTCTCGAAAAACCCACCGCTTTTTCGTGACTTCCAATGAGGAAGTTTAGAACAGCTGATTATTTTGAAGTAAAAGTCAATATCCTTGCACAGGAGTCCAAAACACCAGCGCGAAAACTCCTAGAGGCTTTTTGGATCAATGCCAAAAACCCTACAATGAATAGCAGGGACGAATGCCCGGAGGTCATACGCGACCTGATCCCGTACGTTCGCATCGATTTTTGATGTGCGATGGTGCAGTCGTCAACCACATGCGACTATAATCAGCTGTCAGTGTTATTGAAGCGTTTGGCCTAGTAGATTGTATATCACTATACCCTTCCAGGCTCTGAAGAAGGCGATACTGCCGAAACGTCAGCTAGCGTATTGTATTGTGTTTTTATGGAAGTAAATGTATGCTGTTTAAAAACCTCGCGATTGCTGAACAAGAAAACGACACATTCATATTGCAATGCCGAGGTTAAGAGAAAGTCGATCCTGGGAACTTATTTTCAACCTCGCGTAAGATCAACAAATTAAAAACATGGTGGCTTAGGATTTCAGTGACTAAAATTCATGCACTGAAAGTGCAGATTTGTGAGTGAAGCACAAAGTGTATACCTTATCCCAGCCTTTTAAATCAAATGTAACATCCCTCTGGACTTCTCAGAAGAGTCACGACTGATGCCGGTTCTTTCTAACGAGACCGAAAGAACCTTGATTTTTTTTTTGAGGCAGGCATTTTTGAAGCATTCAAACACCACTGCCATTAAAGAAAATTAGCAAGAAATCTACACTGTTACTATGAAGACTGTTTTGCCTTCTCCCGCGATGCCTGAATAGATACTTTTACAAATCTTCATATGTCATTCTGAACTTTTGTACATTAAAATCTCGTACCGTATTTCAAAGTGTAAACCATCCTCGAGACTGGTGTTCAAAGGGAACAACCACAGTCCCCAGCCGAACACCTGAATTGTTATTGAGTAAGGCTGTCCAGTAATTATCAAAAGAATTTGTCGCATTTATTCCCACCTGCATAAAGTTCTTCGCTCTACCCAAATTATAGTCTGCCTTAAAGTCAAACCTGAAAGATCGAGATTTTCATGAGACAATCAACGAAAAACCTAATGCATAGCTGTTACCATGCATCTGGAAAGAGTGATTCACGAAAATGATGAAAACAAAAACACTTCCTCCTCAAAACAAAAATTCGATAACGCTAATGATCCCGAAAAACAGCACTCACTTCAGCACAGATGGTTTCGCTTGTTCACAGGTAGTTTCATTCACTGAGATGAGGCCGAAATGGAATATAAGCATTTCGCCAAGTGGATAGTAGCTGAAAACCTATCTCTCGCTCGAAAAAGTGGGATCTTCGAATTCATTCCACATACCCAAACACACCATATGCAACCATTACAGTTAACAGCAGCGAAAATGGAACTGAATCTTCAAGCCAGTTTGCATTCAAAATAAAACGAACAAAACACTCCAACGAAGTGATCAAAAACCTGAAACCCATCTTTCTATCTTATAGTTATATAGAAATAATTATGATAGGCAAGGACTATAAAAAAGAAAAACAAATTCACGCCATAATAATGGTCTCAAGCTATGCGACGGTAAAAGAACCTACGCACGGGAGACATTTGACTGCGTCGTGGCTTATAGAGAAGGAATAGATGCCATTTTTCGCTACCAGCTTAGAAGGCAAACAATAGCAGATTAGAATATTAACTTAATAATAAAATAAGATGATAAATTAGCAGAAACTCAGCGCTTATTAGTTTACCTGTGCCTAGGGCTCACAATCCTTCCATCACTCTGGGGTCGACAAATTGCTATCAGACTTGTCTGAGAGGATAGGATTACTGATTTGATACACTGCTGGGCCACTGAGTGTCACTGTGTAGGTCAGATACGTAATCAAACAATCTAACGATGTTTGATGAAGTCGAATAAATTGCGCAACACTAAGGTATTTACAAACACATCATATCAAATCACCTTGAAGGGCCACTACGAAGTTCGAACGAAAGAGAACTATTCGAGCGAAGTGATCCTCGTACACGTATCACTATAAAGTATAAAGTCTATTTGGAAAGTATTCCCTCTGTTTTTCAAAGTTCTTAGCAAACACAAACACACATCTCCTTATAGTTACAAACGTCGAGCGTCTAATCCTTATATGTATATATATATATATATATATATATATATAACCATAATTTTAACTTACCATTTACTGCCTACTCTTTTTAATGGCAGGGCATATTGCGAAACATAACTTCAACGATGCTGAGATATTTGCAAAACTGCAGACCGCAGGTTTCTGCGGTGTGGAACGAACGCGCTGTTACCTTTTCCAGGAGCTAATGCATTCACAACCACACCATGCGGCTCCTTCGTTTCGCATGTATCAACCTAACTGGGTTCGTTGCCGAGTTGTACTCCCCAGATCAATCCCGTTGACTGGTGATTGCTGATGGCAGAGATCGATAGAACTAGCTCCCTTGATCTGGGAACTCCAAATTGGCAACGAACTCAGTTAGGCTGAGACAGGCGAAACGAAGGACTTGCATGGTGTGGTGGTGAACGCGTTACTCCCCGGAAAGGACAATAGCGCGTTCGCCACCCACCGTAGACACCTGCAGTTCGGAATTTTGCAAATATCTCAGCATCACTGAATATATATATATATATATAAAATAAAGCAAGAAGGATAAAGATCTCGACCTTGATCAATCCCTGACGGATGCACCATGCATTCGACTTCATTAAGTATCGTTTGGAGGTGGTTGAGTACATATCTGGTACTTACAATGACTGAAGGTGGCCTATCGGTGTATCGAGCCAGTGCTGCTATCTTCCCATATAAGGCCGGTAGTATTCTGCCATCCCCGGAGGGATGCAGGACTTGGTGAGCCGCGAGAACGGGGGTCGATTCCACATGTGTGTCGCAGGGCGACTCCGACCACTGCGCCATACGCGTCCTCTATATATATGTATATATACGTATATGTACATATACATAAACATATATCAGCCGCCAATGTGAATTATGTTGGAATAAATAGAATTTAGACAATGGTCAGTCATGGACCCACATCTAATTATCCATCTCTCCAAATCTACGTTCGAAAGTATAGTGATAAATTCATCTACTTGGACAACTACAAGATAATTTCTGGCGCATCACTGACATTCTTGCCTGCCTGTCTTAGATTATTAAAATCTGCTTGCCTGTCTTAGCAATCTACACGCTTACGTTTCCTCACGGTTAGTTAGCGTAAATCGTTAGATTTTTGATAAGTGTAGAATTCCTATCAAAACGTTTCATTCTAATTGAGTGGTTACTTCGAAGAAGAATTGTAAGTGTAACAGAATGAATGGATAGCATTTTAAATTGAAAGTGTTAGTACAGGATCCCACCAAACAACAGTGAGCGTACTATAGAAAATGTACAGCAAGAACGGCTTGTAGTTCGTATGATTGACACATTGGTTGATCCATGGGCAGTGGTGGTCGAACTTCACCACACATCGACCACAAGACGAGCAGTGGTGCGATCGGTCTGGCTTCAGACTCATACACATGTAACAGTACCTGAAATCCATTGCCTTTTATTAAAACCTATTCTCACGTGATTAAGCTCACTATTGTCTGTTTTAACGACGAGAGTTTTCTTAATTCCACAGTTCATTTGAAATTTACTCTCCATTCTGCAATCGTTCAAAATTCAAGCCAGTGAAGACCAACGTTTCAGCAAACACAAAGCCAATTTCGAGCAGCAAATGGCCGCAAAAGCAAAACATAGTCAGAGGTTGCCGAACCATTTGAAACATAAAAAGTTGCTGGTAGTAACCACCTCGGAACAGCGTAATTCTCTTTTGCATCAAAAGAAAAAGTTGTTCGTGCTCAATTTGCTTCAAACATCAAGTATCATTATTAGAAAATCGTAGCCTGTCTCTAAAATATCTCAGCGGTAACCTCAGACTCTCATCTTCACTCTTCTTTAAAACGTACGATCCATCAGGATTATATTTATAGAGCTACAAAAACCAGTGTCGCAACAATACAATTCAATAAGAGGACAATATCCTAGTACGAATAAATAACAGGACAGTTTTATCAACAGAAAAAGATCTTCTCGTTCACCCAATCGGTTGCTTATGTTAATTCACAAGTGCTTCTGGTGCCGGTTTTCTACTTTGGCGAGATGCTCACATGAGATGTTTTCACCTCTTTTTTTCCAGCATCCCAAAAGCAGAGCAGTACGACTAGTCACTACCCCACCAGTTTGTGCAGAGACTCAATCTAAACTAAACGTCTTCCGAGATCTTCTTAGAACATATCCTGGCTGTGTGGTTCGGAAGTGATCTGAGTGAAACATGCCTCTAAAATGTTCAGACGAAGCTTTGAACACCAACATGATCACATTTATAACGTTATCAAGAGCTGCTGGCGAAGAAAAACCCCAGAGATTCATTGACGTAGCGTACGACCAGATTACAACCAGTTCTTCTCCCCAAATACACAATGTTAAAGCTAAAAGGATAAAGCTCTAGGCGTTGATCAATCCCTGAGGGATGCGCCATGCATTCGACTTCATTAAGTACCGTTTGGAGGTGGTTGAGTACATATCTGGTATTTACAATGACTGAAGGTAGCCTATCGGTGTATCGAGCCAGTGCTGTTATCCTCCCAGACAAGTCTGATACCAATTTGCCGACCACGGAGGTATGGAGGGCTTGGTGTGCCATAGGCGCGAGGATCGAATCCAAGTGTGTGTCGGAGGGACGCCTCCAACCACTGCACTACACGCGCCCCTGCACACTATGTTACAAGAAGGAAACGACAATGTAGACAGCTTAAGAAAGAAATAAAAGAGATAGGAAAAAAAAACTCTTACAGATGTACTTCTCAGCATACCTAAAGAAGTAAAGACAATATTTAACGATGTGTTTTCGTCTTATGGTTGCGAGGTTTAAAAGTAACTCAAATGAAAATACCCCACTTATTCGTAACTCTAAGTGTCCCATGTTCATAACAAATAGGTCCGTTCATTATTAGTTGAAATCTTGGGGCTTTCTACCTCTGATGCTGAGATGTTGGCGAAACTCCGGACCGCAGGTGTCTCCAGCGGGGAACGAACGCGTAATTGTCCTTTCCGGGGAGCAACGCGTTCACCACCACATCATGCGAGACCTTCGTTTCGCCTATCTCTCAGGGAGTTCTATCGATCTCTGCAGTCAGCAATCACCCGTCAGCTTAACTGGGTTCATTACCAATTTGGACTACCCGGATCAATCCCGCTGACAGATGATTGTTGACGGCAGAGATCGATAGAACTGGCTGAGAGACGGAATTCTATCTCTGTCCACATACTTACTTGAATAGCCCGTCCTAAGTAGTTATGCAGGCAACAGTATAATCTCCAATTTTTAGAGTATTGCTGGCTTAGCCATAGTGGTTGCCTGGACTCCCAAGGTCAGCCAGGCCAAGGTCTGCCCCTTGTCATTACCACCACAGGTAGTGGCCGCCCATATGGATTAGAGTGAAATTGGCCACCACGCTACTAGTTTGGTACCAGGAAAGTGATGGATCATGGTACTGGTTTACTCTTAGCTAAAGTTCATGATAGAAACGCCGGACTCCTTCTCAACTTGGGCGACCCTATTAGGAGGATGAACCTCTCGCTGTGGATCGCAGGCCGACATCCAGGAATACCTCCCAGCAACGATGAGACGGTAATCCGTTGGGAGGCTGTATGTATTACTTACACTAATATATACTTTGTACTATGTTCTATCATTCAGCGCATATTTGCATTTAGATTAGCAGCTCATGGATGAAATCGTCTAAAGTGCGGCGAAGAAAGGGTAGAAGAATTCCAACTTATTCCTGCCAGCTTGGTCGCATTCAGCTTGCATAACTCCCAGCTGAGCAGCCACTTTCGTTAGAATTCTGTGTTGCTTCATCGCCTAAAGCTTTAACAGAAATAAGGAAAGTTCAATTAGTAAAAATCTTAACTCCTTCACTTAAAGTCATCGGTAAAAAAGGTTATTTATGAGAACCTGCTCATTCGTTGACTTATCGGGGAGGTATCGCCCATTTTCGAAAGGAGTACATTCCTTGAGCGCCGCATCTATTTCTGGTGACACCTAAAGATATTACGGATCTCTTTCACCTGGATTTTAATGAACATTTCATGATAAACGATGTCAAATACGTTTCTAGTGTAAAAGTAGCAAAATAGAGAAACGCAGAGTAGAACACAATCACTGTTCTTGAAAGGTTTTCATCTAAATCCAGTTTTTCGAACGGAAATATTTTGTAACTCATGAGTAATAGCAGCATTTTCCATTATACATGTATTCATGCACAAATGCAGTTTTTGGCAAACTCTTTCGACATATAAGCTAAAAATCGAAACACTTTTGTAACCTTCAACCAAGTGATTATCGAACCCCAATAGCCTCATATTTCGGTTTCGCGCTATTCTAAAGAAAACGTGAGCACTAGGCTCGACGACGCTTTTCCTTTTTCTGCAGCAGTTAACCCACAACATCTTACATTTTGCGCCACAATTCTCTTTGAATCATAGGATAGTCGCTCCAGATGGTTCTTAAACTTAAAACATCTATAGTGGTGTCTTTGGAACACCTGGGTTGTACTCCGTACGCCTACTTGGAGTGAACAACGTTAAGCCTCGCGCATACGGTAACACATTCAAAGGCACTTGATAGATTCTCACTTTACTTCCGCAACGTCACCGATACGGTTATAAAAAATATAACCGGTAGGTCAGAATTAAGCAAAATTCTCCCCGTTTATACTATTTTCTTCTTCTTTCAAGTTCTTTGAGTCGTTCGCTTGCTCCTGTATAATTTTGGTCTACAATAATTAATGGAGACAACCTTCGATCAATGCAGAAAAACTGGAGCATTCAGAGATATTATCATATGTTATTCCCATGACCGACTTTCTTCTAACCTCGGCATTAATTGATCATTCGATGTTTTTCTTCAATAAGCAGACACGAGGTAACAACAACCTCGTGTCTGCTTATTAAAGAAAAACATCGAATTATCATATGTTATGTTCATCTTCTTTCTAACCAACAACGTCACGGTCAGTACTGCTATTGTGAGCCAATACTTGGTCCGTTCGACTGATATAACCCTTGATGGGAGCCTACAGTGTACATCTCAAAAAAAACTCAATATAGTGGAACTTACTGTCCAGTTTTGTGGTACCTTAGCCATTCCAACTAGCAACGAAGAAAAAAGTGACCACAGAGCCATGAAGGCCAGCGAAGAGTAGACACACAGATAGAAGGTTGCTTGTAGTGGAGACTGCAGAAAGCGTCCACAAACGATGTAAATATACACGTAGAAGCTATAAATGCTTCGAATTTCGTTGTCCCTGTAGGATTAAAATTGTGTACTGAGGATTTTCAATGGAGTGCATTGAACTTGGTAGCGCATGACGAGCATTTCTAAGATCGTTGTCATTTCATCAACCACAAATGCAAACAAAACTGTCATCACTCGAAGCCAGTGTGTCGTCATTTCTTTGTAGGAGCGTTTTCACAAACATTATTATCCTAACGTTGGCTTGATTTTTCAAAAAATTCCTTAAAAAGAGAAAATGTAGGAGACTGAAGCTTCAAAGCTGACGGTGTCACTCCTGCCGTCTACAAACTCTGATTGAAAAGTTATATCTCGTTTCGTTAGAAAATCAAAGTCATATAAATATTGAATGGTAAGCATGGCAAGCAAACCGATCTATTAGCCAACCCTTCTCAAAATACCTTGATTTGAAAATGAAACTTCACCAGTGGTCAATCCTTGAAGCAATCAATGAGTTTGTTAGATGCAATTTGAGCACTAAACCTTGTCGTGTATAAAACCATCGTCGAACCGTATGATTACCACTACTCTTATCTTCCATCGTCATTACCATAACAAATCATTTTGAGCGAGAAAGCAAGAGAAGTGGTTCCTCCCTCAGAATTCCCTCATTTTACGACGAAGGGGTAAAGCTCTACGTAAATTACCTTCCAGATTCTTCTTCCCTTGAAGCCCAACAGTGTACAAAAAATATGACGAATTTAAGACTTCTGACAAGAAGCCTCACTCTCCATGACCTTCAGTACATGCTCTTCGCCGAACCTGCTGCTTTATCGAAACTTGCAGCAACCTCCACCTGCTTTCGAATACGTCAGAAATTCACGGACTTATAGAAAAAAATTCCCAACGGTTTTCTCTGCCGGGCTGTGTTTCCTGGTTTTCAGACTGCGATCTACAGTGGAGGGATTCATCCCTCGGCAGAGTCTTCCATACTGAGAAGGTGTCCGGCGTTTCCATCAGGAAGCCCATCTAAGGGTAAAATAATACCAGGATCTACCACAGTCCTGGTATCGAACTAGTCGCATGGTGGGAAACCTCTCTCTGATCCACAAGGGCGACGACTGTGGTGGTGAAGATCTGGAGCAGACTTTGGCCAGGCCAACCTCGGCACTCCAGAGAAATACAGTGGCTAAATCAGCAAAACTCCGAAAAATTAGGATTATGTTGGGGTCCGCACAACCAGTATGGGTAGGCCATCCAAGTGACCTAGTGTCCAAGTATAGAGAAGACCTTTCTGAACACCTTTAATCGCACATATGTTTTTCATATATATTTCTTCAATTTTCCAACATTTGGCATTAAATTATAATTGTCAAAAAATTGAGAAATAAATTCAAATTCTTTCTACTTCTGTTCAGCAAACACGATGTATTACTTTATTTCTTTATTTACGTACAAGCTGACGCTTCGGCAGATTTCGCCTTCCTCAGAGCCTGGAAAGGTCAAGTTGACTACAATCTACACGGCCAAACACCTCCATAACCAAACAGAGAAAGTGCTGAACTAAAATTTCAATCACATTGAACACGGAGTCTTTGCACGTCTTTCCACTGTGGCTCGAGATAGGTCTAGAGGAAACCACAGGTACCCCAACGATAACTCTAGCGACAATAAGGTCCCGTTTATACTGCCCTTCATTTCAAATTAAGTAAGTGCAGCTATAAAACGCTATTTAAGGAGGGTCGATCTAGAGAATTCGGTAACGATAATTGAAATACCACCGAGTAATCTAAGACGCCAGCTAGTTTGTAACCGCCTAGTTGCCCCAATGGTAGAGATGGCAACTGCATGAGTTCGGGTACAGTCTATCTGATCTCTTGTAAAACGTGCTGGGGCGAATAAGTTGGCGAAACGGGTAGACCACTCTGCGTACGTACAAAGGATCACCTAGATGGCAAACGAAAATCAAAAGAAGGCACGCCACTAGGCACGCATAGAACGCAGAGACATGACGGAGAAGATTTTGAAGTAGGTGTTACGATCCTCGCGCAAGAATCGAGAACACAAGCGCGCAAAACTCTAGAGGCATTCTAGATTAATTCCAAGAATCCGAAAATGAACCGTAGGGAGGAATGCTTCATTGTCACGCGTGATATTGGGCAGTATATAAGACTGTTATTCTAGCGGGAGGGGCACAATACGATTCCGTGCGAACTCTATGCGGTTGGTATCCACGTGACATATTTAGTGGAAGACTCACAGAAAGCGGTGAGTGTGCAAAGACTCTGTGTTCAATGTGATTGAAATTTTGGCTAAGCATTTTCTCTGTTTGGTTATGAAGGTGTTTGGCCGTGTAGATTGCAGTCAACTTGACCTTTCCAGGCTCTGAGAAAGACGAAATCCGCCGAAACGTCAGCTTGTACGTAAATAAAGAAATAAAGTAACACCTCGTGTTTGCTGAACAGAAGTGGAAAGAATTATTCAATCAATGCCGGGGTTAATAGAAAGTTAAACTTGGGAGTTCCTATAAATTCAAATATTTACCAATGTATAGCATTTTACTTATTACCCACTATTTTTTTTTATTATGCCGAGTATTGTGAGAGATACAACCACAATATGCTGAGATGTTTGCGAAATCCCAGACTCCAGGCCAGATCCAGAAGCCGCGATTATCCTTCCCGACGGCTTACATGTCACCAGCTACACCACTGCGGCTGACGCTTTTGCTTTCTCTCAGCCAGTTTTTTACCCAAACGGTGCCATCAGCAATTACCCAATGGGAGTGATCTAGATAGCACAAATCAAGCACTGAACCCGGTTAAACTGAGGGCTTAGGAAGTCAAAATCGCAATATATGACTTTTTTATTTACTGCTTATTCTTTTCCACGGCAGGATGTTATGTGAATGACTGCGACAATTATGCTGAGCTATTTGCAAAGCTCAGTCACCAAGCCAGATTCGAGCCAGCGATTACGGGCTCACGTGTAACCCACTGCACCACTGAAGGTCTCGTTCCGCCCGAATCTGGTCTGGAGTCCAAATTTTGCAAATATCTCAGCATCGGTGTAGTTAAATTTCTATCATTTACAATGCAAGAACAGCAGATGCAAATAATGCATACTGTCCCACGAAATCTTAACTGTTTCAAGGCTCAGTGGAATAGGGATCTCGACAGAAAAAAGCAGTAAAAATATATCACGTTCGGTTCAGGGATATTAGAGTTCCAGTTTAGTAGAGAATACAACTTGTATTTCATAAACAAATATCCCTACATTCTAATGGTTTATAGCTCAAACAATAAAATTCCAAATCGGCCGAAATATATTGATCTGCTGTTGAAAGCGACATTCGTTATTATCATTACTGTTAACACTATCACTATTATGGATTATCCAATTATTCTCATGCCATATGCATTTCACTCATGTCGGCTGTTCTGTTAGTTCCACAAGTTAGTGCCTAACAGTAACAATGATGCTGAGATATTTGCAAAACTCCAGAGCGCAGGTGTCTGCGGTGAAGAACGAACGCGCTATTACCCTTTCCGGGGGCCAACGTGTTCACCACCACATCATGCGCGCCCTTCGTCTCCCCTGTTTCTCAGCTAGTTCTATCGATCAGTGCCGTCAGCAATCATCTGTCTAACAATACCTAACTGTAACAAACAACTGGAGGTTTATAATAGAGTTAGCTTCACACTTTCTGCCCGTTAACATAAATATTGATTGATGTGGTAGGGGTGGTGATATGCTCACCTGTATATCAACCCAAGCAACTGCATCACGAGAAGAACGTTCAGTAAACGAGCAAGGAAAAAACCACTAATAGGATTATTTTCCGAATATTCACGTACTCGTGTATAGATGACGGAATACCAGGACATATGTGATCTGAAAAAGTTTGCTGAAGTTGTTTTCACGCTTGGAAAGTTGAGGAAGTAGTCGAAGTGTTGAATTCTTTCGAGAAATACCATACCATTCCATTACAGTAGGGATGAAAACTAATCAACTTTATGTCAACGACGTTGGACAATGGTATTGAAATACAGACACGTAGAAAGTTTAATCTGACGGGCTTCACACGAGTGATAAGATTGGCTCAGAGTAAGGAAATATCTGCAAAATCACGAACCGTATTCACTTGAGTCAAAGAGGCTAGATCAGTTCATGTCCACTCCTTCTAGCCGCAACCGCTCCCTCCTACGCTGAGGCGTTAATGGATGCCTCTCAAGTAAAAATATAACGATACGATATAAGTAGTGTTATTGAAATGTTTTCAATAGTGATTAAACTCCTACGATATCATATATATATATATATATATATATATATATATATTTGAACTCTAACTTATATCAACCACCAAGTAGCTCCTGAAAACCTACTTATCTCTGAACTGCGGAAACGATTTACTTCACTTTTGCCTTCTTTATGCTCGAGCCGATACCGCAACGGTAGTGATCACGTTTATTACGCGGACGGCCCAACCCATAGAGGCTCTGCTTCGACCCCCCGTCTCGCCATAGTTTTCCTCCCTTCGAGGTAGGGAAATTGCCACAAGACCTCTGGAGGAGGCTCACTCTCTCTCATCCACGTAAAACCACTAGCATGGCTATCTCAGAGGTTTCAGAGGTTTCATTCAACCAACATTCAACCACATTTGCAATGTAGACGAAAAAGTTCTCAAGCAGCAGCTTAAGCTAGATAGAGAAAAAGTTAAAAACCTTAGCGGATCGTCGATGTGAGCAGACGAACCGAATGCAGAAAGTGCTAGGATCCAATAATGAGTGACACAAGTGATGCCGCGTCATGTAATGAAATGTTAAATAATGTCTAGTTTGTATCTTTTCTTTTGTGAGGAATACCGTTAGGAAGCTTACATTCACTATCTTCAAAATTGTCTCCTTCACTAAAGCTCGGCAAGAAAATCAATATTAGTTTGGATTATTGGGTCAATACGAAATCGATATGAACTTTTATTCGCCTAACAGTTCTAGGCCCTCCTTTTTTCAGCGTCGCATCGATTCGAATGGATTGTACCTAGTCAATCCTCCCTGTCACGTGGCTCTTCGTAGCCACTAGGCTGTGGATAGTTGAGTCGAATTATCGTGGGTCTCAAGAAGGCGAGGCACCGACACGTCGGTCGAATAAACCTTTTATTGTCCAACGTATGCCTGGAATTGATAGCGACCGTATTAGAAAACTATTCATTTTGTTGATACTGCTTTACAGATTGCTTCCATCTTTAAACCATCATGAAAATGTTGAGTTGTGCAAGAATTAATTCGGGATGTGGTTATTCACTCCTGTTACTAAAGTTGATATTTATAAACAGAAATTGGAAGGAGGGAGTTGGAGGATGCTATCCACAATGGTAAATCGTATCACAAATTTCTTGTTGAAAATTTTAACGCCGGAATAGGAAAGGTCAACGAGAACCGTCTTGCAGTACTCCTACCTGCAGCGCCTCTTTCTTGGAATGTATAGCTATGTATGGCGACAACATTCTGAACGAAATCCTACCCAAATATAAATGACACATTGAAGAAGGCCCAGCCTAAGATTACGAGCTGCCTGTTGAAGAGCTTCGAAATTGTGTCTAATTTGCTTGTGCCTCAAGCAGGAAGATCGGATTGTATCTCCACTACCACAAAGGAGCTGTTCGAAAAGTTATTAACGCTGGCTGTAGGGGACCTTTCCAGAGAGACTTACATCGGAATATGCAGAAGAAGTTGTCGGAAGCAACGCAAAAGCGATCTAGCCTGGAGAAGTGGCGTCGAGAAGTCTTTTGCATTCAGCACATCCAAAGCGACTATAATGTCCCGCTATCAGCCCTGATGAACGAAGATGGAACTATCAACACATCTCACCATAATATGGAGCTGGTCACAAAAAAGTTCCATACCAACCTTTTCCGTTCCACAAACTCCATCTCGAAGTCCGAAATCCCAGTTTAAAAAACCGTCCTGATTCTACACTCTGAAATTCGAGCTACGGTAGAAAGCATAAAGAGGGCTCAGCTTCAGAACTCGATAGTAGTACCACCGACTGTCTTCGAGCAAGGCGCCTCAAATTGCACATATTTCTGGCAACCCATTTGACGTGTTACTTTCAAAATTAGGAAATTCCAGGCCGTTGGAGGACGCTCAGCACAGTCATCTTGCTGAAAAAGGGTAACTGTAGAGGTCTTCGTAATTATTGTTTGATATATCAATTGAGTGTACTCTACAAGCTGTTCGCGAAGACTTTCCTTTTGCGCATGTCAAAGGATCCTGACAAGTATTCTTTTGCATGCACCACATCCAAATCGTTTCACGGGTCAAAGAAATACGTCGAGACTACCATCCGTTTCTCGTTCTAACCTTTATCGAGTACGAAAGCGTTTGAAAGTGTCGAAAGGACCCTAATCCTATCTCAGCGACCGTCGAACAAAGAGAATTCCCGTCCTCCATAAGAACTATCCGACTGTTATCGGAGCTGCACCATGAAAGTACAGCTTTTTCATTGACGTTTTACCATAAACATAGGTAGAGAGGTTTAACAAGGGGACACCAAATCGCCAAAGCTGTTTAGTGCCGCATCGCAGAGGATAATGAAGTCACTCACTTATAATGAGAAAGGCACACGTATTGATAGAAGATTCCTATAAATCTTCGGAAGACGTCGTCATTTCCTTAAGATGTGCCAACAAAATAGATACGATAATCAATGAGCTCAAAGAAGCAGAGAAAAAAAATCAGACCACGGATAAATCGGAAGAAGACCCAGTTCGTGAAGAACCTTTGATGCAAAGGCGAACAACTCGACCTGGATAGCTCTCTGATTACAGAGACTTCTCGCACGCTTACCTTGGAATTTCAGTAATTACTATACAACGAGATGAAAAAGGAAAAAAAAGAAATAAAAAGAGGAAGAAGGGCGTATTCAGGGCTCTCAAAGAAACCACTGATTAACAAAAGACTCAAAACTACGTTTCCTAGCCTTCTGTTATGCAGCAGAATGTGTTGGCATTTCACACACGCCAAGAATACCGCGCGGTAATCACAGAACGTTTGAACGACGTCTTCTGAAACATAACCTGCACCCACAACATCTCGGGATGCCGAGATACGAAGCTCTGGTTTTCGCAGTCTATCTCAGTTTCATTCAGGACAACACATATGGACAGCGAAACCTAGATGGCGCGGTGACACATTGTGAGGAACAGACTAGAAACGGGCGAAGAGAACTGTTGGATGGACTCCACGAGGACACAGGCGCCCGTGAGAACAACTACCTTACACGATGGGCAAACGTGTTCGCAACCAAAGTTAGCTGTACTTGCAGCTGCAGTCATTCTACAGATCACGGTATGAGACTGCACTTACAACCTGTCTCAAATGAAACTTCCACCATGCACAACGATTGCTAGACAAAGAAACGGATGGAAAATGTGCTGGGGTCCAAGTACCACCAACATAATGCTTTCTAGTGAAACATTCTAATTTACGATTTTTTTCTGAGATGCATGCTTAATCGTTTCCAGGAGAATCATGGGGTAAACTCCACATATTATCACTATTAATAATACAGAAAGGTTGGGCAACGCAGTGATAGTGGTGCCGTTCATCATGAGCACGGTACTGGTTTGATCTCGCTTGGACTTACTAAACCTCCTATATCTCCTGGGTCGGGAAATTACCCAGGATGAGCTCATCAGCTCACTAACTTACAATCCATGTGAGAACGCGGCACCGTTAGAGTGAAAAACTGGCCGACAGAAAGGCCCTCGTTTCGTGCAGAGGATAACGTTTGCCTCAGGAAAAGGTAACCGCGGGTTTGAAGCGCAGCTAACGTTCCCAGTTTTATTGATTTCTCAGCATGCTTATTCCTGTATTTGACATGGTACTCCACCACGGAAAAAGAATAGGCAGTAAATAAAAGTTGAAAACACTTTGATGACGAAGGTCTTCAAGAAGCAGTGGAACCAACACGGAAAACTTCAAAGACCTTCGGAAATGACGGATGTGAGGAAACGAACCGAATGCAAGAACCGGTAGAATTCATACAGCAGATCTGAAGTCGGGTCACGCAAAACATTATAGTAAACAAACGAAATTAATAGCATCAACCTTCACATTTTCATTTAGTAAAAAGAGTTGACACAGTTAAACCACAAATTAGTTACACATGTAAATTTCTACATCATGGAATTTTTGAAACACGGTCGATGGTGCTGCTCTTTCGATAAACGCTTATGGCTTTCCGATACGTGGAGTACTTAGGGAAATGAGCACTTGTGAGCAAGTGGTATAGAAACAAGGATTCCGTTGGATGACATCTAAATTATAGCCATGGTTATAAAACAATTTCGTAGCATCGCCTATTCCATATTCTAGCTTTTGCCAAGTCGAAACGAATACCATCTCATCACAAATCGTGAACTAAGGAAAACGCTACTACATGAGAACTTTAATAACTGCCATCGCAAATGCAGCACGAATACACAACTCTTACATCGAAACCCATAAGAAAAAAGGCTCGACATGGAGACATCATCGTACCAGAAATATACACCAGCACACTGAAGTGGATAATGAAGTCCTCCATTAGAATGACAAATGACATACACATTCATGGAAACCTCCTATCAAATTTCAGCTTTGCCCACAACACTATCTTCTACAGGAGCACTTGTGAAGCACGAAGGATGCTCAAGGAGCACAACGAAGCGACAGAAATGAAGAACTAGGCATGAATTGAAAAAAAGGGCTAATTGATAAAGAACCCATCATGTGAAGGCAAGAAGTCGAAATGGGCTACTTTAAGATTACCGCCACATGTATGTATCCAAGTCATCCAATGAACATTGAGAACGACATGAGTAAGGAACTAAGCAGAATAAGGCAAGTAACATTGGTTGCGTTTCAGCCTTTTAAGGAAAGCAACAACCAGCTACCGGACCCGAAACTTCACTATCACGCCTTTGAATGCGTGAAGAAAAAATGTGGCAAACAGCGACACACATCAATTCGCGTTAAGCAACCTACATTGCGAAAAAACAAACACTACAACTTTGGAATTTGCGTGATAATGCCTTGATAGTAAAAGGGAATAGGCAGTACTCACAGCTGGAAACGATTTATGGGCCTTCGACACTGGAACAGCTTACCGTACTGAAGATGACAATCACAATGGACTACAATCTCGAGGAAAAAAAGAAGACAAGGAGAAGGAAGAATAGAACACAAGCTGATACCTGGTGGGGCAAGGCGGCAGGCGGTTGGTGTGGCGCTCAACGTGCTACTCGGACTTCCAGGAAGATTCCGATCAGCACTGCAGTGCTATTACGAATGCACCACGGTATTTAAGTCCCTCTTCTATCTAACTGCTATTTTTCACTGTGTTGTGTGCCACTGAGAATGAAATCAAAACGGTCTATAGTGGGGCAGAGACGTATGCCACAAGTCCCTAATATGCTCAACTGACGGACATTGTTTCTTCTAACTTATTATTTACCGCCTATTTCTTCTAACGGTAGGGTATATTGCGAAATATAACCTTCAATGATGCTGAGATATTTGCAAAACTCCGGACCGCAGTTGTATGCGGTGGAGGACGAACGCGCGCTATTGTCCTTACCGGGGAGTAGCGCACTTCACCACCACACTATACGGGTCCTTCATTTCGCTTGTCTCTCAGCTAGTTCTATCGATATTTTGCAGGTGATTGCTGATGGCAAATGTGATTATAACTGCAGCCTCAGCTTAATTGGGTCCGTTGCCAATTTGGGCTCCCCAGATCAATCTCGTTGACGGGTGATTGCTGATGGCAAAAGATCGATAGAACTAGCTAAGAGACAGGCGAAACGAACGACCCGCATGGTGTGGTAGTGAACGCGTTACTCCCAGGAAAGGAGAATAGCGCGTTCGTTCCCCAGCGCAGACACCTGCGGTCCGGAGTTTTGCAAATATCTCAACATCATTGAAAATTGTTTCTTCTCGCAAAACAAAGAAATAGTACATGACCCGTCACCACATCTATTGTGCAGATCTCAGCACTTCTTGCATCCGATTCATTTTTCCTCGGATTTATGTTGGTTCGGTTGCTGCCCGAGTATTTCGTCTTCTTTATGAGTGTCGCAGAATGTTGATTGAGCCGGTCCTCCCTATAATCTTTAAGATAGCCGAGTAAGGGCTTTCTCATGACGAAGATTGTTTACATGCCCAGGTGTGCGTGTAGCGCAGCGGTCGAAGGCACCCTGCGGCACGCACGTGGAATCGATCTCCGCGCCCATGACCCACCAAGCCTTCCATCACTCCAGGGTGTGCAAATTGGGACGAGTTGTCTGGGAAGATAAGAGCACTGGCTCGATACATCAGCGGACCACCTCGTGTTATTGTGAAGGCCAGATGTGTATTCGATCACCTCCAACGATGGTTAATGAAGTCGAATGCATGGCGCATCTCTCAGGGATTGATCAACGCTAAGAGCTTTATCCCTTTTTCAAATAAATACTTTCATAAGGAAAGGTCAAGAGAACGGGCAATACCAAGCTAGAACTGCTCATTTATGACACCTTTCCCACAGATGATCCATTCCGCCCAGCTTTTCTCCACTATTATCATAATGTTTGGGTCGGTAGGGCACCTCCATGTTTTTTCTTGTCATCTAGGAAAGTTGCTCAACATTTTTGGTGAGACTTCTCCAACAGAAAGCCAAAATTTGCAGAATAATTCTAGAGCATACAAGCTTTTTCATTTTAAAATATCGACATTTGTTCAATGAACGGCAACTTTATTGGCAACCGCTGACTCAACAGTGACTCTTAAATATAAGTAAAAAAAATCAGTTTCTAATTTTACTATCAAGAGTAATTGTGACAGGTCCCTCATTAACAATTTCCACGTTCATCATTGATGCAAATCGACCATCCTGAAAACAGGGAAGAAATGTGAACTGAGTAAACTTTCGTGCAGTCATTGACATAAAAAAGCTGTTCTAACACTTCACCTGAACATTTTCTGGTAAATAAGAAGACCGAAGTTTATCCATAAAGCGACCGTAGAACACACTGGCATCTTGGGGATTCATTGCATTGTGGAATTCAAGTTTATTGCCATGAAATACAACTAAATTCAGTTTACCTACGTTCTTCATAGCCTTTTCTTAATGGAAACATTCCGTTCTCTCTTTCACGATGCAATTTCTTAATGGATTTTGCTGACAAAACACGTTTAGAACTCTTTCTTATCACAAAAGGATAAAAGGATAAAGCTTTCGACGTTAATCTATCCTTGAGGGAGACGCCATGCACTCGACTACATTAAGCATCCTTGGAGGTAACTGAATGCACATCTAGCCTTTACAATGACTCTCGGTGGCCTTCCGATCTATCCAGCCAGTGCTGCTATACTCCCAGACAAATCTGGTACCAATTTGCGGACCACGGAGAGATGGAAAGCTTGGTGGGGGTTGGGCGTGGGTATCGTTCCCAAAGCATTGCACGGCGCCTCCAACTACTGTGCTACACACCCATTTTCATCACAACGTGTTACTAAAAGAATAACAGCGATACCCACTTCCATCTTAATCGGATATTTTCACGAATGTACTTCCGAATAGCCTAAATGAACTCTAATATTGTCAAAAGTTTTCAAAACACTAAAGCAAAATCAATTTGTAGTAACTAGTCCTGTTCGAGCGGACGTTCCCACCTGAACTGACAATGTACCTCTTTAAAGAACACAGTATTAACTCAGTTATTAACCAAACGTTATTACTGTTCACTGTTATCCAGCATATCCATAAGAGCTTTCCAAATACTACATCTAGGATTACTCAAGATGTTAAGTATAAGCAAAATCATTTGTGCTTATGAAGGTCTCCATGACAAATCCGATAGTTCTTAACAAAAAAAAAAACCAAATGGACTAGAACTTGGTCACTATGTCTCACACGTTAAACCATTTCTATTGCATGTTCCATTTCTTAGAAATGTGTTTAATCTCTTCCGTTATTCTTGAAAGAAATATCGAAACTGGAACGTGAAGGAGAGTCTTTCTGTCTGTTCCTTCACACCCAGATACTTACATATTGAAGGAAATATATATGAACACATACTTTCAAATATCCATATAGGGTGAATTGACTGACGCATAGCACTTCCAATCCTTCATCTTTCACAGATCTCTCCCAACGTTTGTTTTCCGAATCGAACAGCCTCACATTTAAAATCTTCCGAACAATGTACTCGATGTCATCGTCAGTGTCATCCCTTGAAATTCCTACCAGTACGCACACACCACGTCCAATTGATCCCACCTGGAAACAACGAACACGGTTCGGTCACAGTCGGATACAGGTGACATTAGTGAACGGAAAACCATTCTCTTTTACCACAGTGACTTGAGTACTAAGTAGTTTTGAGCAATGCATAGTCCCTGATACGTCAAATATATAGAGACATTCCTCCCAACAGTTCACCGCCTCATCGTGGCTGGGAGATTTTCCTGGGTGTCGGACTGCGATGTACAGCGGAGGATTCATCCCGTCAGCAGGGTGTTCCATGCTGAGAAGGAGTCCCACGTTTCCATCAGCAAGCCTAGCTAAGAGTAAACCAGTACCAGGATCCACCACCGTCCTGGTGTCAAAGTTGCATGATGGCAAATCTCCCTCTGATCCACAAAGGCTGCGACTGCCTGTCGTGGTGACGACCTGGGCCAGACTTTGGCCAGGCTGTCCTCGGGATTCCAGGGAACCACAGTGACTTAGTCAGAAAATCTCCGAAAAATGGTGATTATGCTGGGGCCCCCACAACTAGTGAGGACGGGCCGTTCAAGTATCAAGTATCAAGTAATACACTGCCAGTAAGAAAGTGTAGGTAGTAAATGAAAATAAAAGATTTGTATTAATCAGCCACGATGCGTTCCAGTGTCAGAAACTACTTTACGGCGTCTTTATAAAGCGAAAATGGCATATATGACAATATAAATTCCTCCGAAAGGTTCGATGAGCTCTAATATGCGACGTGGACCGTTCCCACAGTGGAACTAGCTGAGCTAGCAATGGGTGACATCTCGCCAAACAGAGTAAAAATCGACGGACTCACACTAAGACTGCAATTAATTTTTCCGGATAGTGTGGAACCCCACTGAGAAGCCCTGTCATCCATAGCAGATGTTAAGGAATTTCATCTGTCCTGGGCTGAATCAATGACCGACTCCACTATAGCGGCTTGACAACTTGCTGAATTTCAACTTAGAAAACAAAGCAAAGAAGTAGGACTGGAACTTACCACCTCTTCTCCGACTTTCACAGAAGCCCTAGCCACTCTCTGGATAATCGCACGCATATCAAGAAATCTCCACCATATTGCGTTTCCAAGAAACAACTACGTGCTCTTCCGCAGTTCATTTAAACCAAACGACGGATCAACGGACGACAAGAACAGCCTAAATTTGGAGTCTACCTAAGGTGCATCGTTGGATGAAAACATGTGGCAAATTCCATTTCGCATCTTGTCATCGTTTACTTTTATCCTTTTCTTCATATTTTTCCACTTATTGGCAAAGAATTAACTTCATGGACGTTCTATGTAAACTCTCAACTAGCTCTGATGATGCAGTAGATAGAAGTAACCATAGCCAACTCAACCAACCAACCATAGCCATTTGCAAGCTAAATTTGTCCAGGAAACCGAGACTGTATGGATGTCCTTGATTACATAACACCATTTGCAAGCTAAATTTATTTAGGACTGTAGGGATATTTTGTATTACTTCACATATCTGACATATTTAATTTCCTATCTTCAAGTTTTTGGAAATTGCACGTCTTTAGTTTCATTGGGAAGCTGCATGTGTGAAGTATAGACAAACTAATATTCTTTTCATTATGATATTAGAGACATCTGGCTGCTCCAGGAAGTAATTTCATATGGGATCAGGAAAACAAGATGAGCAACCTTCGGATCTTCTTCTCAAATGCCTCAACAGTGGTCGTGTGGATGTTCTATGTTCTCTTCTCTCACAAATGAGTTAGTTGATGAACGCGAAAAATCCAGCTTTACATCAGAGTCATAGAGATATTGCTCAGTCTTCTTCCAGAAAACAAGCCGGATTACCATGATAACGTTGATGTACTGTGTTGTGATGAAGGCACCTTACTTCATCGTGCTGTCGGACTAGGTTAGTTTGTTTTTGGATGTAAATTTATGTACACATTTAGCTGGTATATATAAATGGTTCCTGTCAAAGGTTTGCCGCCCCATCGTGGCTGGCAGGTGTTCCTTGTTCGCGGGCTGCGATGTACAGCGAGAGTGGGGATTCATCCCCCAGCGGGGTCTCCCACGCTGAGGAGACCGGCGTTTCCCATCAGGAAGCCCCAGCTAAGCGTAAACGAATACCAGGATCCACTACCGTCCTGGTATCAAACTAGTCGCATGGTGCCAAATTTCCCTCTGATCCACACGATCCACAAGGGCGGCGATTGCCTGTGGTGGTGACTACTTGGGGCAGACTTTGGCCTGGCTTACCTCAAGACTCCAGTGAACTCCAATGGCTAAGCTAGCAAAGCTAGGGAAGAATGGAAGTTATGCTAGGATCCTCACAATCAGTGAACACGAGCCAAGTGTCGAAGTAAGGAAGTACGTAGATGGTTGAGCGATTGTTATTGCTTCATATGTGGTTTTCCACTTCATCTTACTAAATAGTGATGTCGACACCATATTCATAGAAATAAGTATATTTTCGTGTACGCCTTAAATTTATTACTATCGATTTGAAATTCAATACTCGCTGTGTCCTAGATTCTACTGACTTTGTGAGTGCCCTTCTTTCAAACGGAGCAAATCCATGCGTCCAAAATGAGTCTGGAAAAACTGCTTACCAAATGTGCAAATCTGATACCGTTCGCAATGCTTTTGTTCAGGAGGCTCTTCGGGCTATTACGTCATCAAAGTGAGTTTTTATACGTCATACGTTCCAAAGTGAAGGTATAAGCTGGTTTTCTTAAAGCACCGTTAAGGTTTATCTGCACATTAACCGTAGTTTTTCTCTCGGTTTCTTTCTTCTTCCAACTTTGAGTCTGGTGTAGCTACGGGCACGTTATTTGGTTGTGGTTCCTGGAACTTTTGTCATCACTTGTAGTTTTGCAAAGTTGTCTTCTAAACGTCCTTATCACTTATCACTTACTTGTCTTATCACTACCTTGTAATACCTTGTCAGGTTTTGCAAATAACGGCTGCATTACGCTTCATTTGTTGCACGTTTAAGAACCCAATAATAACTCACTGCTATCACACTAACCTTTTGTAGAACCTTCGATCCCGCTTGGAGAAGACCGTTTTTGACTTGTTGGGACGGCATTTCCCATGGATAGTATGCAATTTCCTTGTTGTTAGTTGGACCAGATGCCATCATAAGCTAAACAAAGCTTTCATTGATGATTTATCCGCTTTTATTTTACGAATTTTGCAACGTTGTCCTCATTGTACTAGTTCCCAGGATCAACTATCTGTTAACCTCGGCATTGGATTATAAGTGCGTCGTTTTCCTTTTCAACTGTTGCGAGGTTGTTAAACGGCATACGTTTGTCTCCATACAAAAAACATGCAACACAACAGTAGCTGACGTTTCGGCAGTATCGCCTTCTTTAGAGCCGCCTTTAGCGTGCCTTCCACTGAGAAAGGAAGACGACTCAGAAGGCGATACTGCCGAAATGTCAGCTACTGTTGTGTTGTAGGTGTTTTTTGTACGAAAGTAAACGTGTGCTGCATAACAACTCCGCGATTACTGAACTAGAAGACGACGCATTGTCCTCATTCCTAGGTTTAAGTATTTTACAAGAATGTTTCCATGGTACCTGAACATGTAGAGGAATCTTGCACCTTCTTTCATAGAGGCTTGGTGAAAGACGCTTCGCGTTATCCAAGTGTTTCTTTTCGTCTAGAATTTGGCATTTTTACATTATTTATATAGAAGTCTACAAAGCCAAAGAAGAAAACTTTTACCTTTTTCGCAATGAGGTTCTTTTCTTTCCTTCCTTTCCTCTTCTAACATCATCTGTCGCAAATTAGACCTCAATCCAGCAAACGAATTCCAAGATTAAATTGGTTTGGAAGGTCTGGTCGGCCCACTTCTTGGTGCCTACAGCTGATAAATGTCACTACACGTACGAGTGTGGTGTATTTGTCTTTGTGCTGATACGATTTGCCGATATCGTTAAGAAATGTGTAGTGCTTTTTCGAAATACTCAATATTACTTATCACGTCATATCACTGCCAGAGCGTGTGTGGTGCAGTCGTTGGAGACGCCGTATCATGCACATGGGATCGATCTCAGCGCCCCAGACTCACCAAGCGCTTTATTTCTCTGGGATAGGCAAATTGGTACTAGATTTGTCTGGAGGATAGCAGCACTGGTTCGATAGGCCACCGCGAGTCACCGTGAAGGCTGGATATGCATTCATTCACCTCCAGCGATGCTTAACGAAATCGAATGCATGGCACAACTCTCAAGAATTGATCAAAGCTGAGAGCTTTATCCTTTTTTTATCATTGGCAAATTACCTAGTTTTGAAGTGGAATAATTTCATAGTTTAGTAGAAGCTTTCACTGTAGAACGGAAACGAGACGATTTTAGCAATGGTCGTCTTTGCCAGCTTATTTCATCAGGCGTGTCAGTGGATTCCGTCGATTCACAGCAGTCACGTAACACCTTACTGAATTGGGCTGCCGATTTCTCAACTGCAGATATTGTCAGGTTTGAAGTTGCATCTCTTTCCGTGCTAAAATGTTCAGTTAACCAAATATTGTTGTAGTTGATAATACCATCAGTTGAGTAAAACATTTTGTAGGACTCTCTGTGAAGGAGGGGCAAATGTTAACTTTCCCAATGCAAAGGGCGAAACTCCGCTCGTAACGGCGGTTCGTCGTGGCAACGAACAATCAGTACGACAACTTCTCGCCTCAGGCGCAGACCCTGCAATGAAGACAAACAAGGTTTTCAGTCGTTTTTCAGATGGAATCACTTTCGTTCGAGAAGCTTTGTTTTCCTACACTTTCTTATTAACATCATTGTGTTATGTTTGTAATGAATAACGTTAGTAAAATCTTCAATGAAAATAGGAAGCACAGGCAAACCTATTGGTAGTGAAGCTTCTGCATGTTGTTTTATTATTTCGGAAAGCGCTATTTGCGGAGATTATAGCTTCCCCATTTTATTTTCTTTTTAATAATGAGGATTATTTCACTTCGCTGTGAGAGTTTTTAGGTAAACTAGATACTTAATTTAGGGAGACGATGCGTTCTCTATTGCCACTGAAAAGGGTGGAGCACTTCTTCCACTACTCAGCATGGACAAGTGAGTGAATTTACCAACAAGTATCCTAGTGTATGAGTCAAGGTCATAATGTGTCGTAGTCTTGGACAGCTACATTTCACTGAGGCTCTTGACAAATGTCTTAGTAGTTTTTTGGTTCATGTTTGTATTTCGCAATGTATAAACGAAATGAGAGCAAGTGCAATAGTTAGTGTTTTAAGTATGTGCATTTAAATTGTGGTCTTCACTGGGAGTTTTGAGCAACTTTGTTTTAACGCGGAGTTGTAGTCGCCTGAGTACTTTCTACAATAATTTACTAAACAACTATAAGCCAAAGAAATGTCTAAGATTCTTTGCGACTGCTTTTGCGACTTACACACAACGGTCCAGTTCCATTGCTACAATGCACAGGTTTGAATCAGTATATTTGACCAAATACTAGAATTCATATGTTTGAATAAATTGTTAGAAGCTGAAGATCTTTCCCTACGACATACGATTTGTCCCATCGTGGAAAGGTGACATTCAGATTTCCTTCAGCCCATGACATAAATTTCTTCCACTTTGTTGCTCCAGGGCTCGTAATTAAAGCACGGGAACAAATTAATAGTTTTAATTCTATCGAAACCACGACTGGGAGGTGTTCTTGGGTGCCGAGTTGCGATGTACAGTGCTGGGATTCATTCCCCCAGTAGGGTCTCCAAAACTGGGAAGGAGACCGGCGTCTCCATCAGGAAGGCCAAGCTGAGCGTAAACCATTGCAGGGATCCACCACCATCCTATATCAAACTAGTCGCTTGGTGGCAAATCTCCCTAGGATCCACAAAGGCGGCGGTTGCTTGTGGTTGTGACGACCAAGAACAGATGGCCAGGCTGTTCTCGGAGCTCCAGGGAACCACAGTGACTAAACCAGCAAAACTCCGAAGAAATGGAAACTGTCCAGTGGCCCGCACAATTAGTGAAGACGGGTCATCCAACAATCCATATAATTTTTCCCAACATTGTTGTTCGCCAAAATTTAGCTCCTGTTTGCATTTGCTGCTCTTGCGTTTGGAATTCTAAAAGCTTGAATTTTACCATTTTCTGAAAGCTTAATTCTGAAAACATTTGGATTTAAAAGGACACTATAAAGACTGTGTACGTGACCAGTGTGATGGAAAAAAGTGTATTCCATAAACCTATATATTTCTGGACTCTTCAGATATTGTGATGACTGAAAAGTTTTATTAGTGTATCGGAAATCGGCATGCTACGTAGCGTTTATAGCAGTTTTTCTAAATTAATGTTTAGTCTACGTTTGGTTAGCAACTCTTAACTAGAGAATTCTCTGAATTTGTATCTTCATATTCATTAATGTAGACTTGCCCGAGCTGTGCGACGAACTCAGTCAGCGGAGTCGGTGGAATATGACCGGGCGTCTATTACTTCTTGCGAAATCGTTTCAACCCAACTTTTCAGCGATCGGTATGCTGTTGATACTATTTCGTCTTCTTCCTAACATATCAGTTGATAAAATGTTTTGTGCGACTTTTTTCTTTGTAGTGTTAGCAATCGTTACCTTTAGTACAGAGAGGTATACGGATGGCAAACCAGAAGTGTGGTCGGATTTGCTTTGGCCACAGCCGAAGCTAATTAGGATTGACAGTACTAGTAAAGGGTTCTCCTTTCCTAAGGATAACAGGTTCGTTTACGTAAATGGATGGATATACGGATATCTGTATATGCATATACATATACACTGCATTTGTTTATATACACGCGCATATATATGTATAAACGCAATTGTATATATATATATATATATATATATATATATTTCATTTCGCCCCATTGGAACGCTGTGGTGTCCATAATTGTTTAAACTGAACGACTGTATGGGAGCTATAGTGTGCATATTTAATTCGTGGATTCCAGAGCTCTTTCCCTACCGTAATGTTTATATTAAATAGGTATCGAAAGTCGACGGGAGAGGCCAGAAAGACGATTCTCTACAATGGACATTTAATTTACAAAGACTTTTTTCATAGTTTGACAAAGGGTTTATTTATTCGCATATAATGCTGAGATATTTGGAAAAGTCCGGACCGCAGGTGTATGCGGTGGGGAACGAACACGCGCTGTTGTCCTTACCAGGGAGCAGCGCACTTCACCACCACACTATCCGGGTCCTTCATCTTGCCTGTCTCTCGGCTAGTTCTATCGATGTTTTGCCATCAGCAATCACCCGTCAACGGGATTGATCTGGGGAGCCCAAATCGGCATTGAACCTAGTTAAGCTGAGGCTTAGTTATAATCACAATCTTAACCCTTTTATTTACTGCCTTTTTCTTTATTGCGATAGAACTAGCTGAGAGACAGGCAAGACGAAGGACCCGGATAGTGTGGTGGTGAAGTGCACTGCTCCCTGATATGGACAACAGCGCGTGTTCGTTCCCCACCGCATACACCTGCGGTCCGGAGTTCTGCAAATATCTCAGCATTATATACGAGTTATATTTCGCAGCATACCCTACCATTGGAAAGAAAAAGGCAGTAAATAAAAGGGTTTATTTATTGTTGCTTCATTTTAGTCGCTATGGTCATTGTATACAATGTATGTGTGCTTATGGAAATACCGGGCTAGGCTCCATATGAACTGAAAAACAGTTCCAGTTGCCATCGGGAAAGCATTTGCAAAATGAACCATAGTAACAGTAAATTCTATCGTACATATCACCCACACTCATAGAACGATAGAGCGAAGTCTCTTCTATCCTATCCATTTGCCAAACCCCGCAAATGTTCTACTTATTTAGAAAAGATTATTTATCGTTAAGAACCATAAAGTCTGCTGCCCGCGAAAAATTGCTCTCATTCGATTGGACTAGCCTCAAAGTCGGCGCCGGGGTCGATTGCGATATGTATATATATATATATATATATATATATATATATATACATATATACATATATATATAGAAAATATACGTATGCATACATACGTGTGTATATCTTTGTTGATATGAATGTATTATGTGTACATACGTGTACATGTATAGCTTTAAACCATCAGGCGATTGCATCATGAATATTTTTGCAGGCTTAAGATTTACTTTTGCAATGCTTCCAAAGGATGTCCTCTTCGAATGATGCAGGCTATTCAAATTAGTGCCCCATTTCTGTCTAGTGTTAATCTCGATTTGGACTACCGCGGGCATAAGGTTTTGTGGAACTTTTTATGGTTTTGTAGCTAGCGTAGATCTAAGTAATTGTAGGTTATGGCTGTTGTTTGTTATATAGTTTTTTGTTATGGCTGTTTTATTCAGACTGCGGATCATGGTAATTCTTCTTTGGATGGAAAAATAACGTGTGGTATTTTTGCTGATGGTCGGCCATCAGGTGCATATGTGCTGACTATAGACTGTCGTGGTATAGAAATCATCGCGAGCGATTATTGTGGTGTTCGTTATGCATTTGCCACTCTTGTGCAGATTATACGGCTTCGGAAGTAAGGTTTTATGGCTCATAATTCCTGTTTGATTGTGATTGTTATTATTATTGTTATTTATTTTTCGTATAGTTGTAGCCGTTTACTAAACGATCGGCAGATATCACAATGTTAACATTTTATTTTCTGCCTACTTCAGTTATTCGCGGCAGGGTGTGATGTGAGTTAAAACCACAACGATCCCCAGATCACTTTTGAAATGCGATATTTATTCAAGAACATTTTCTGTTCCTCTCTCACAATTTCCTTTTAGTGCTAAATGTTAGAGGCTTCTTTCTCAAACGTTAGCAGCTGCTGTAACATGGGTATGATGGAAAAGAGCTTAGCCCAACGTATCGGGAAAATTCGGTAACACATTGCACCAAATTTTGCATTCTATGTGTTTGCTCATACGGTCTGTTGTACACTGAGAAAAAGGAACAGAAACGCTGAATCCCACCGCGTCTGTGTGTTTTTGCTGTATAGCTCTTTTTCTCTTTCTTAACTCCTTTTTGTTTCTTTTTCTTCTTCGTATTCTGCACATCCTCTATGTACTTATATCTTTCCAAATATCTTTGGAATGTCTCCATTCCTTGCATGTTGAAAAATCTAGTCCTTCATCCGGCCACGGTACCGCTGTCATTTCGTGGTAGGTTTTTTAGAATTTTTGAGTATATCTACTAAGATAGTTGCACTGCTTACTTTTACGAATAGTGCTGACCCAAAACGTTTTCCATTCGTTTCTTTGTTTCGCTACCGTCATTATGGTAGTACGCGCGGGGTATGGTGCAATGCCGTGTGTGAGTGTCAATGGCGTGATCTGTAAAACGTTTGCACTTATGAATACGACTGTTTAATTTTTAGGAACAAGTTTGCACACTGTGTAGGTGGTCATCCCAGAGGACGCTTGCATTCTCGTGTAGTTCATTCTGCAGTCGTGTTCTTCCATTTGTTCCATTCGTTTATTTTCACTGGACGTCCGTGGTACATGCACAAAATGGCCGTTACAATAAAAGAACCGTTCAATTTGATTTGTTCTCCTTAGCAGGATCGGCTGTTCAAGAACTGGATCTTCGCCCTATTTATTTGCAGTCCAGTACTTTTTCTCACTTTTCCGAGCAAGTTGAGTATTTTCTCTGGTTTACTGGTACGTCACGGAAATGTGACAGTGTCGCTAGCGAAACGAAAATTTAACAGGAATCATCTATCAATACGTATGCCCTTCTCAATCAAATGAATCAGTTGTTCACAGCAGCACGGCAGTAGTAGCGGTATGCTTCCAGTTTTCGAACTGCTGCGATTAATGTAGGGTCGACGGAGAAGCTGTGTTCTTGTAGTGAAATTACAGTAGTAGTTTGTAGGAATTCTTTCTATTAGTTTGATCGGAAATTAATGCAGGAATTCAAACTGTGCCTTTAAAATGACATTTTGGCTCAGAATAAACTTTAGTGCAGATAAAACCATTAAGCTCTAAACACTTTTCCAACGAGAAATCATTTATTCTGATTGCATAAAATCCTAAAGTTCTGGAGGCAATTAAGTCATCGAAAGCAGGTTGGACTTCGGTCTGATTTTTTCGGAACAGTTCGCACAAGTAGCTATCGATATACTTGAAGAAGCGGTAGTCGGTTGGTAATAGTGGAGATTAGGAAGAGTTTCGTAGTAGCTCATCTCGTTCAAGGTTTTCCTTTTTTTGGTTCAAATTTGGACGCTATTCTCCCCCGAGCGATGGCAATATCGACATTACACTTGGCAAGGAGGAAACCGTTGGAGTATATAGGTAAAAGGTCAGCTTAATAATGTTTCATGATAACGAAGATATGCCTAGTGAGCGAGCAGAGTTGATATTGCTCAATTATGTCCTCGGGTCAGTCAATTGTTCAAAGATGATCAGTTGACGACACCACTTGAAGCAGAGTTTTCCGGCGTTTCCATCAGGAAGCCTAGCTAAGAGTAACCCAATACGGGATCCAGCACCGTCTTGGTATCAGCATGGTGGCAAATCTCCCTCCGAGCCACAAGGGCTGCGCCTGACTGTGTTGTCGACATGGGGCAAGCATTGGTCAGGCTGACCTCGGGACTCCAGGGAGACACAGCTGTTACACTAGCAAATCTGGGAAAAAAAGTGGCGATTATGCTGGGGTCAGCACAACCAGTGAGGACCGGCCATTCAAGTGAAGTAAAAAGTAGTGCTGGGCTCCACACCTTGGGGAACCTTTTAAGGGGTAAATCTTGCTGTAGATCGCGGTCGTTGTTTACTAACTATCTATTTATTGTGTTGCTTGAAAACTAATGTCTAGTTCTTTTTTCTTGAATATGTCTTAGCAATAGTTTTTATTTCACATGCGGTGCTACCATTCATCATTGCAAAGCTCATCTATAATTGAATTATAATATAAATTGTTTTTTTCTACAGATTTTAAGTATTAGAATTTCAATTTCATACGACAAATCTACTTTTACTATTTCAAACTTGGGTTTAGACAACGCGGGCGGCTCGAAGCATTAGTAAGATGCGGGATCAGGAGAATGTTAAGGAGCGCACATTGTAGCGTTGATTTGAAAATTTCGTGGTAATGAATTGAACCTTGAAGATGAACAACGTCGCGGATGTCTTCCTGCTATTGACGACGATGTATTGAAGGCTTATTAGAAGCAAATACATGCAGATTCTTCAAAAAGTTGTGGAAGAACTCTTTGTAACCATCTCAACTGCTTCGGAGCGTCAAAAGAAAGTTTAATAATGAAAGAAGCACGACAAATGGTTGCCGTAGGAATTGTATGATGATCAATAGAATCTCTTTTTTTAAATATCATCTACGCTCATTCTGGCTAACCAGAACGATCCGTTTCTCAACTGTATTGTGAAGTACGACAAGAAATGCATCCTCTACGATGGCCAGTTACGATCGGCTCAGTGGTTGGACATCGACGAACCTCAGCACTTTCCAAAGTGGAAATTGCATCGAAGAAGGTAACATCTACCGCTTAGTGGTATACTGTCATTTAATCCATCACAGCTTTCTGAATCTGGGTGATATGAATACGACATAGATGTCCCGCAAATTGATAAGGTACACCCGAAACTTCAATTTCTGGGCTTTCCATCGGTGTGCATTGAGGTGATAATCCTCGACGAGAATGAACGGTTGTACATTGTGCTACCGATGCTATAAAGTTGAGCGAACTGTATTACGAAATTTTGCCTCAGCAGGTATCCTAACCGGGCATCTTGCCTATCGACTACCAATCAAGGCGAGGCCGGAACTGCCTTCAATGGCTTCATCGCCTTCAAAAGTTCTCTACTTTGATTAACGAAGTTTGTTTCGAGCTGAAATGTGCTACTTTAAACGCACAATTTAAGATCGGACGTTAATTTCCAGTGAATTGTGTATTATAAATGTAAATCTTTTTTTTTAGATTCTTCGTACCTATATTTGCAGGTTTGCATCACGTCATACTCTTGGTGATGTTTCATCTAATGTGTACGAAAATACTATCAGGTCCAACGGACGAGTACCTTCAGTTGATCAAACTAGTATTAATGGGTATTCACTCGTTGATATAAGCAGTTCAGTTTCAGAATTGCCCGGATTGACAGGAGGTACTTGTCTTGCTGCTTCTTCTAGTTATTTTTTTCAGCCATTCCATTTTATGTTTAACTTTTTGTTTACTGCTCATCGTTTTTTCATGGCAGGGTGCGTTGTGTCATGCAACAGCAAGGATGTTGAGATATGAGCAAAACTCAGAACCTCAGGTGGGCTTTGACCCAGCAGCTGTTACCCTCTCTGGGTGCTCACGTGCTATCCACCACATCTACCGAGGCTCTTGTTGTGCTTTTCTGTCAGTCAGTTTCCTACTGTAGCGGTGATATCAGCAAACCTTGCCTGAGGTTCCGAGTTTTGCTCATATGTCATCGCCTATGTGGTTTTATCTCATTTTATTTAGACGGTACTATCCCTTGTATCACCGTGCGTGACTGTCCGGACCGTCCATTCCGCGCAGTTTTCCAAGATTTTTCGGGTTGTCGAATCCTTAATACGGAAACGGTGCGTTATTTACCTACCTTCTTTTCTCCATATTTTAGCAGCCATCTTCCATTTTTTACACCTTCTTCGAAATTAACTGCAGTGTTGTTTCAGCTGCTACAGCTTGCTACACGTCTTTCTTATTGCAAAGCCAATTTTCTGTTTGTGAATTTTGAAGTACGTACCACCGATCGGTACCAACTGCCGTATACAAATCGTGATCTCTTCCACATGATGCAAGTCTGTGAAGAGCTTTTTATTACGGTATGTCTCCACACGGTTCAAGCGATCTTGTTTAGCTCTTACTTTTTATTTTACTCCTTTTGCTTTTTACTTTTTCTACTTTTCTTTTAATGTTCCGGGTTACAATCTTCCTCCATTCTTTAAAAAAAACTTGACTGTTCGAATAAACTGCAATCTTTGTTTTTGTACATTATGAGCACAGAATCATCTTATTACGATTTATTATTTTTAAGGTTATGAAACATTTCCGATGAAATAGATTACTGCAGTCATTGTTGGGTCAGTTAGACACTTCGTTTGTAGCTCGTACCATCGTTGGACACGCAGTCGAATTACATTGAACCAAACACTGCTCGTGATATTATTGAACAGTTCTTGGACGATTTTCCTCTCAGTAAAACCGCACACTTCGGAGCTAATTTATCCAGCATTCTTATTGCTAACAGAAATGGTGAGTGAAAAGTTTGTTGACGAAGCAGTGCTCTATGGCATTTCCCTTGTACGCAGTATCTCTCTTTAAGTACTTGCGGCGGTGCAGCGTCGAGTACCAAGGATCTTTCTGTCATCACATGTTGATGAGAAGAACGCGTTTTTGGTATATGGTTACATATGTCTTGCAGATTTTATTTCTGTTGTTTGTTTATTTCTTATCGTTACTAATTCAGTTGTCTTCGGTGCCTTCTTATGTCACGTTATGTATTGAAGGATGTTTTCCGTTTGAAGTTGATAGATTGTTGTCGCCAAGAGTTTCTATCGTATTGAAGTTTTCGACGGGTAGGTGTGACATAATTTCGTCTCTATGTTATCAAAAATATTCAGACTATTTTAGAGAAGCTGACATTTGCTACTGTTTTACAGGAGATGATGGATATTTATGTGCTGCTCCGGATTCCACTGCAAAAAAGGCGTTGCTGGCTTCAAGACTTAGCGAGAAATGTAACGTGTTAGGTGAGATCGGTATTAGTTCTATCGTACTTTTCTCAATTCTCGAGTATTTCTAGATTTATCCATCACGAAGCACAATGCCGATTTCTAGGTGAAAGAAACTATGCGAATTAATTTATTACATTAAAAACTGCAGAACTAAAAAACTGAAAACTATATATGTATACATATATATATATTCATATTCCAATGCCGAGGTTAATAGAAAGTCGATCCTGGGAACTGTCATAAGATGTACCATCAATTAACAGACAGAAAACTAGGAGAAATATTAATTATTTAAGTGAACTGTAAAAAGCTGAAAAAGTTTTCGGCGTTGATCAATCTCTGAGGAAAGCGCTATGCATTCGACTTAATTAAGCATTATTGGAGGCGGTTGAATGCATATCTGGTTTTTACAATGACTCGCGGTGGCCTACTGATTTATCAAACCAGTGGTGCCATCTTCTCAGACAAGTCGGGTACGAATTTGTTGACCTTAGAGGGATGGAGAGCATGGTGAGCCAAGGGTGCGAGGATCGATCCTATATGTGTATGGCAGGGTGCCTCCGACCATTGCGCCAAATGTGCCCTCGTTTTTCTCTCATAGCTTTATTAATTTCCAGCAACTCTCATGGGCACTGCGTGGTGCAATATGATTGTCTTATCTTATTTATGTGGAGTTTAGCTGCGTACGAACTGAAATTGTTAATCTGACTTTTTTTTCCTGTTTTGGACTTGCCTATTTTACAGGGACGATGGTATGCGATCTCTCAACTGGTTGTGAAGCAATGCCACATTCATTGTCTTATATGTCGTTGTTGTCAACATTGGGCGTTGCATGGAATGGAACGTGTGACATGAAAAAATTTTCATTTTTACAACCCGCTATTGCGGCCCATCATATTCTTATGGACGGGTCAGCAATCGGACGTCATTATGGGCAAGTATGTGGAATTGTTCGAGGAAAAGTACTATGCAGTGGCAATTTTCAGTGACATGGCTGCTTTATTCGAACAAGCAGCTACGCTAGGTCGTGTGGAGCATGAACTCACTAAGGTTGCTTGCGGAACCTGGCGTCCTATATTTCCAAATTCGCCGACCTCTGAAGGAGGAGAAGCGCAAGTACGTCGATACTAGGATCTTTTTCTTAATTTTGTACAATTTAAACCTTTATTCACGTGTGCTATGGCAACATATTTCAGATTAGTGGTTTCGGACAAAATAAGAAGGGATCAATTTCAGTTTTTGTTGAGATGATTCTCAACCCTGAAGCTCTCAATCTCGAACGTCTTACACCCGTTATTTTCAAGGTCTTTGTTGGTTTTCTTCACATAGTAATTACTTCGAAGGGTGCAGTTAAATGGCCGTTTTCATTTAGAAAGCTAGAATCGAATTACGTCGCAGTTTAATGGCTCTTGACGCCGCTAGAAAAACTCTTCCGTACAATTTTGAACTAGCTTTAGTGCTCGCAGAGATTAAATTGGTCACAGAGTTAATGGTTTTAACCAGCAGGTATGATCATTTTTTTTTCTAGAGTTGATGTAAACCTTAATACTTTTCGCTCCATTTGGACTAATGTGGTGCGTTATTTAGGTTAGGGCAGGCTTTATGTATACATGGAATGAAATCCATCCAAGCAAAAGGCCGTGAGGAAGGGCTTCATTATTCACCTGGACGTGTAGGTGTTGCTCATCTGCCCCTAACTATGCGAACTGACTTCGCAAATAGGTTGGTTTGTATATATATTTCCAATGATTATATATATATATATATATA